CCTGGTGGCACAGGGGTAGCATGTCTGACTCCAAGAGCAGGAGCAGCCCAGGAGGGCAGTAGCTCTGGCCCTGTTGCTCCTCCCAGTCTACAGCAGAGGAGAGGCACCTGCAAAGGGCTTCACACCGCCTCAGGAACCCATTTCTCTTATCATCGTCTAGCTACTTTGGACAATGTTTGAAACTCCACACATGTTCCAGTTACTTCTGAGTCCTTTTTTTTAAAGCTATTTTATTTTATGTTTTATTATATTATTATTGTAGTGGGGGTACATTGTGACATTTATAAAAGCTCTTACAATATATCATAGTTGAATTCACCCCCTCCATCATTCTCCTTTATTTCTCTTTCCCCATTCCTGGAATAGTTTCAACAGGTCTCATTTTTCCATTTTCATACATGAGTACACAACATTGCCACCATATTCTCTCTCCTACACCCTTTCCTTATATCCTCCCCCTCCCACTGGTACTAACCCCCAGACAGGACCCATTTTACCTCCCTGTTTTCTGTTTTTGAAAAAAAATCATTTTGTTCATTTAAGATAGCTCTACAGGGAGTTTCATTTCCATGCATATATGTATCATAACCCAAATTGGTTGTTCCCCTCTATTTTTCTCCCTTCTACCTTACTCCCCTTCTTATGGTGATGTCAACAGGTTTAAAAATTCTATATTCATTCTTGTAAAGAAAATCCATCAACCACATTCACCTTCTTAACTTCCTTCTGGATCTTGTGATTTAACAAGGGCTGATGGCTGTCACAATGACTAATTCTTCTAGGATTGCCACTGTAGAGTTACTGACTCATCACCATCAATCTGCTGATTTAATATCAGCCACATCCTGTATAAAAATTGACAGAAATCATGAAAATTTACTCAGATTTTAAATCGGAGAATTTTTTTTCACCAAGAATTTGTTTGCTTCTGTTTAAATAGTGGCCCTTTCAGATGAACAGTATAGATCTTTTTGACACTGATGCTGTCACTCTGCTTGCGGTTTAGAAAAAACTCATTTGCTCCTTTAGCTTACTGTTCTTCTCACCCCTGTATTGTTGACATTTTTTTGTAAAACACATAAAGAAATATTTTATTATAATCTAATATGGGAAATTATTTTTTTTGGTGATACTGGTGTTTGAATTCAGGACTTTACACTTGCTAGGCAGGCACTTTACCCTGTGAGCCACTCCGCCAGCCCCTAATTTGGCAAATTTTTTGAGAATTCTTGAAAATGACAGTAATGATATCTCAAATTTCATAACTTCTGCATATCACTTAAATTATCTCTGATTTTATCATTGTAGGCTTAATATAATTATCTTCACTATTTTGGTTGAAACCATGAATCTAAAATACATTGAGACATACTCAGTTATCCAGCAATTAATTTTTTAAAATTACTTATCCACCCAAATGATTGGTGTCATCATGTTAAAAGTCGGATATTTGAAAATATCTGAAAAAATATTATGCATTTTTTCTAACTGATTTAAAGTATTGGTTGTTATTCAGACATGGTTGAGTAATTATTGGTGCAATACTCTAGAACTTTCATTTATGAAGTTGCATGTTTTCTTAGTGCTTTAAGAAAAATGACTAATTCATCAGTTGGATTAATAAGTAGTACTGTTTATAAAAAATCTAACCTGAGGGAAAGAATGGATACATGCATAATGTGAGCTGAATACCCAGAAACATCAGTATTTCTTAAGAAGGTGGACATTGCCAAAGGTGGGGCCAGGCACAAAAACAATTCTGGAAAGTTTAGTTTCTACTGACTCACTTTAATTCTAAGAAACATTAGAAATTTTACATTGAATATTATCTTTTAAAAACAAATCTTCTGGCTTTTATATGTAACATATAAATTAATATAGACCAGTCATAATACATTCAGAGACAGGACAGTACAAATTTAGAAACTTATGCACCTATTTTTTTTTTTTTTTTTTTTGCAGTACTGGGGCTTGACTTCAGGGCCTTCACCTTGAGCCACTCCACAAGCCCCGTCTTTGTGAAGGATTTTTCAAGATAGGGTCTTGTGAACATTTGCCCAGGTTGGCTTTGATCTGCAGTCCTTCTGATCTTGGCCTCCTGAGTAGCTAGGATTACAGGCGTGAGCCACCAACACCCAGCTCTTAAGCAGCTTTTAAAATGATTTTAAACCCAGCCTTGAATGATTGTTTTCAATAATAGATTTTTAAAAATTCTTTCTTTTTGGCAAGGAACTACCTAAGGGTGACTGTCCCAGCATGTCATGGAATTCATGTGGACAAGACTGGGCAGTTTGATCAGGTGATAACGTGGTTAGGTACTTTCAGGCCTGGATAAATAAACAGGTTCTAAGGGTTTTCACGAATAAAATGATGACAATCCAAACAGAGGTTATAAATGAAGAATCACATTTTACATACATATTAAGCTTTTTCATTAATGACTTAGATTAAGACAGAACACTTCACAGTGCTTCATTTTCTCTGGTTTCAGATACCCTCAGTTAACCATGGTCTGAAAATATTAAATAGGAAATTTAAAAAATAAACACTTCAGCAGTTTAAAATTGCATTCTGTTCCAAATATTATGTTGAAATCTTATCTTGTTCTGTTCCATCCCACTCTGCACTCAGGATGGGAATCATCAGCGTATCTACACTGTATACGCTACCTGCTTGTTATTCAGTAGCTCTTCCAGTATTCAGATCAACTGTCAGGGCATCTCAGTACCTGTGTTCAAGTAACCCTTATTTTACTTAATAAGTAAATGTGCCAGAGTAGTGATGTTGAGGAAAGAGAAAGAAATTTGTGCTAGCTTTACTGTCATGCCTCAAACTGCAAAGACTAGGTCCACAGTGTGTGGTAAGTACTTAGTTAAGGTGGAAAAAAGGCCAGTAGCAGAACATTTCACTGGTCTGCAAAGACTGAGTTTCATATGATGTAACATTGTCATGAGAGTGACATCCTGCTACCTTTGCAGAATTCTATTGGTTAGGAGCCACAGCACCCAAGGGGAAGGGATTATACAAGGGTATGACTCATTGGGAGTCACACCTGTAGGTGGTCTAGGAGGCTAACCAATGGCCCCCAAAGACATCAGCTGTCAGTCCTTAGTGATGGAACTTGTAAGTGTTAGCTTATGTGGAAAAGTCTTTACAGGGGTGGTTGAAATAAAAGGATTAGCCTGGATAATCTGAATGCAAGCATGGTATCCCTATAAGAAAAAGGCAGAGACACACACAAAAAAGGCCTTGTGAAGAAGGAGCAGAGGAGGATTTGTAGGTGCTGGCCTTGACTAAAGACTGGTGTGATGCAGCTGTAACCAAGGGATGCTGGCAGCCACCTAAAGTGACAAGCGTCCAGAAACAAATCCTTCTAGAGCCTCTGAGTGGTATGACCAGCCAAAGCCTTGATTTTGGACTTGTGGTACTGATTTGCTCTTTGGTCCTCTGGAACTAGACAACAATACGTTTTTGTTGTTTTGAGCTGCCCGGTGTGTGGTAATTTTACAGCAGCCAGAGGAAATTAACGCAGAACTTATTAAATGATATCTAAGTATAACTTTTTGAATGCATTTCACTGGTTACTCAGTGAGGCCAAGTTTTCTTTCATACTGTGACTATTTAGGCGTTTTCATCTGTGAGTTTTCCAACTCATATCTTTTCCCTTCTCCCCTCCCTCCCTCTCTCCCTTTCTTCCTTCCTTCCTTTCTTCCTTCCCTTCCTCCCTCCCTTCCTTTTTTTCATGCACTTGGGGTTGAATTCAGTACCTTATACTTGTGAGGCAGGCATGCTACCACTTGAGCCTTGCATCCAGCCTTTCTTGATTTTAGGTTATTTTTTAGGTAACTTTTTGTGTTTTTGTCCAGGGCTGGCCTGGACCACAATCCTACTACCTACAGCCTCCTGTGTAGCTGAGACCTCAAAACACACCACCATGCTCAGCTTACTTGTTGATATGGGGTCTCACTAACTTTTTACCCAGAGTGGCCCCAAACTATGATCTGCCCAATTTCTGCCTCCCAAGTAGCTGGGATTATAGGTGTGAGCTCCATCCTCCGCCTCTCTTTTTCTCTTTCTTAGCTTAGTAGGTGTTCTACACATAGTCTAACTACTAATCCTATATCAAGTGTACATATTACTGAAGAAGACACTTGTCTTCTCATCTGTACCTTGTCTTTTTTTTTTTAATTTGTGTTGTGTTTTACATTCATAACTGTTTTCTACTTTTTTTTATTATGGAAAATTTTAAATATACCCAAACAAAGAGAACAGTATAACAGACCTTCTATATGCTTGCTACTCAGCCTCAACAATAACTGTTACTTTTCCCAGAAGTATTTATTTTTTTCCTTTAAGGTTTGTACTTTTTGTGTATTACCTAAAAAATCCGTAAGGGATAATGTGGCCAGATATTTCTGTTATGATAACACTCATTCTTTTTCACTTTTTTTGTTTTTGGTGAGATTGGGGTTTGAACTCCGGACTTCACTCATGCTTGCAAAGCAGGCTCTCTACTGCTTGAGCCACACCTCCAGTCTATTTTGCTCTGGTTATTAGTCTCTATTGCTCTAAAATATTAGAGATGTGGTCAAGTGAGCTATTTGTCCAGACTGGTCTCCAACCATGATCCCCCTGACACAGCCTCTCCAGTAGCTAGGATTCAGATGTGAGCCACTGGCACCTGGCTTCTTTTTCACTCCTATGTAAGTGTTATGATGTGTAACAATTTTTAATATATTCAAAGCATAGCAGCACCAGTGTTAATCTATATCTTCTTCCTGAGTAGTCAGACTTTCCCTCAGCAGTGTAAGTTGTTGACTCAGATCACAGGAACTAGTTGTCCCAACAACTTCACACACTCACCATAGGGCTTGTTGGAAAATCCCATGTTCCCTAGTAGGGCTGATCATTCAGGAGGTGTCAAAATATAAGTCTGAGACAGATATGCTGTCATCTTTGTTTTTATTAAGCAATTTCTCTCCTTTTTTTCTTAATTCTAGTGTGCCAACTGGGCTTGAAGGCATGAAAGAACAGGACCTTTGCAACAAGATATTGGTTGAAATCCTAGAAAATTATAACACCCTGTTTGAAGTAGATTGTACAGAAAATGATAACCAGAGCTGTGGAAACCTGGCTAGGCTTATCTTGGTAAAAGTAAGTAACTTTGCTATTTAAATTTCAGTATTGCTGAATTTATATTTAAATTATTCTTTATCATAAAAATCCATTATAGATATAACTTTAGGCTATTTCTGTGTTTTTGTTTTTGTTTGGTCTGGGGGTTGAACTCAGGGTGTTGTACTTGCTAGGCACTTGTTCAATCACTTGAGCCACACCTCTGCCTTTTTTGTATTCGTTGTTTTTGTGATAGGGTCTCACTTTATGCCCAGACTGGCCTGGGATCTTCTATTTGTGCTTCCCCTACTAGCTGGAAAGCCACTGCATCTAGCCATTGGTTAAGATGAAGTCTTGTGAACTTTTTGCTCAGACTGGCCTCTAGCCACAATCCTCCTGATCTCTACCTCCTGAATAGCTAGGATTACAAGCCTGAGCCAGTGCACCTGGCCTTAACTTTTTCTTATGAAATCTATTCCCTCTACCAAATGTTTACTAAGTTAATATATATTCATCTAAGATTCAATAATAATAGTGATTTTATGTTTTCCAGTAGTATAAAACCATCTCAAAAGTATTCATGCAAGCCCAGTGCTTGGGTCACTTGGCACACTGACTTTTTTTCTTTTTTTGATGGGACTAGAATTTGAATTCTGGTCTTCACATTTGCAAAGCAGGCGCTCTACCTCTTGAGTCCACCTCCAGTCCAATTTTGGTCTGGTTATTTTGTTTGTTTTTATGGTTGTGCTGGGAGTACATTGTGACATTTACAAAAGTTCTTACAATATATCATAGTCGAATTCACCCTACTCTGGTTATTTTGGAGATGGGGTCTTGCAAACTATTTGCCCGGGCTGACCTGGAACCATGATCCTCCCAATCTCAGCCTCAAAAGTAGCTAGGATTACAGGTGTGAGCCATCAGCACCTGGCACACTGCCCTTTTTCTGGAAGCCTGATGCCACAGTAGGATATGTAGGTTTGCCTGTGTTCAGGAATGCTGGCTTGCTACCCAGATTCAAATTCCTAAAGACAACATTACTGTGTCTTTTTGTCTCTCTTGTGTCTGTCACACTTTTAAGATCAACCTCAGATTTTAAGTCCAATATATTAGTTCCTGATAACTATTATCAGTAAAGGACAGTATTTTGAAGACCTGTGAAGGTGTCCTTAACTGTGCTACCCACATCTTTTTATGTATGGACTGCTAGTTGCTAACTATCCTTTGCATGTAAGGTAAATGCAGGTAGGTCTCTAAAGACCTACACCTGAGAGTCGGAGGCTAAACATCTAACTCCTCCAGAAATGGGAAATGAAGGAAGGGCATCTTCCTTCTTTCTCGCTTATGTTGAGGTGAATCATGATGACATGTTTCCTCAGGAGGTTTGCCGAGACTTCCCAGGGGTACAGACCACACTGTAGTTCTCTTGACCCATTTGCCATGAAGGATAAAAAGCAGAGACACGTGGTCTGAGCATTTCAAGGCACATTTTCATCTCTTCTTGAAGTTGAGGCCATGACTTTGAAGAAAGGAAAAGGTAATAGCTGTCAAGTAGGATATCAAAGCAGAAAAAGAAGAACCAAATCAGGTCTTTCTTAACCAAAGTTTACACTACTAATACCATAAACTCATGAGACGGTACTGAGTATGTATTCTAAGAACCGAACACAATGCACTGAGCAGGCATTTTGCCAACCTGATAGAACTGTGCTCCTAATTGTAAGGTGGGGAGAGAACCGCGCTCTGGTAAAATGATAAAATGAACTCATTGGAGAACATCAGGTATAAACTCAGTTGCAGGTGATACAGTAGCTAAAAAACGTGTCATTGATTCACAGGAGAAAATAAGGAAAAAAGTGAGAAAAATTCCACTTCAGCTTTGCTACAGAAAATTTAAATAAATTGTTTTTTAAGTTAAAAAAATAAAACCTCACTTAAGTTTGCCCATTTGATGTTTGTAATGCTTTAGAAAGGATTTTAAGTATCCCTGATAAACATATTTTAACACCTTTTTATTAGGGCTCTTAAGATAACAAGGGAAGCCTAAAATATAATTTAAACAGAAGAATATGACCTCTTAAATACAACCAACTTGCTAAGATGAGCTGGTTGCTGGAATCAGACAGTGGAAGGTCAGATATATGGAAGAGAACCCTGCTTGGAAATCCTTCAGCTGGTAGATACAAGCCTGGTAAAGATCATGGATGAGTACAAGACACAGAAATAGATAATATTGTGGGAGCCAAATGCAGGTGTCTTAGGTAGGTGAAGAGGATGACTGCTGCTCTCCTAATACAAGTTTCAGATCTAGACTAGATGCAGGAAAAGTGTGCCTAAAACTCTGTCTACATTGTGAAAGCCTCATTCTCCTAAAGCAGAATATTTGATGTATTTTTTAAGCTCATCTTGCTGGTAGTTTCATCTTTAAGAAGGTAGAGCAAGGAAGGAACAAGGGAACGAGACTGGATTTATTTAGAACCACTAAAGATAAACTTGAAAGTATGGAAATTAGTTTAAAAGAAGGTTTCGGTACCATTTAGAGTTCATAATAATAAAGGGAGAGTGTGCTGGCCATTGTTAGATGTGGAGACCTGGACAGTGCTTACAGCTCAGATTTTTTTTCTAATTTCAAAGATCAGAGAAACATGAGGGAGAGAAAGATACAGACAGATAGACAGATGGACAGAGAGAGAGAGAGATTCCATGTGTCCTCCTTTTTCTTTTTTCTTAGCATATTTATTCCTAATTGCCCCAAATTAGGATTTGCCAAGATTTCCTTCAATGGATGACCAATGATATTAGTGATAAAATAAATGAGCTATCAGATGACACGTAGAAGAAACTTAAATCCATGTTGTTAATGAAAGTAACCAATCTGAAAATGCTGCATACTTCCAACTATGTGACATTCTAGAAAAGTCAAAACTATAGCACAGTAAAAAGATGGGAGGAGGAAAAGAAGGAAAGAGGGATATGTAGCATGGGTTTTTTTTTATGAACGTGTATTATAGAAAGTAAGGGATTTCATTATATTTCATACACGCATGTAATACACATTGATCAGATTCATCCCCTCTTTTTCTTTCAAAGAAGGTTCTAATCCTAGCATGAGCCCCTGCCCAGCTTTCCTAACCTAACCCTAATTGCCTCTTAAAGGACCCTCTGAATGCCATTCCATAGGCCTTTGGATTTTAATACATGGATCTTGGAGGGACTCAAAATTAAATCCATAACTCCTGCTGAGCTAAAATCCTTGGTTTTTTCCTTAACTTCTCCTTTCTCATTCTCACTGGCCTTATACAGATCTCCTGAAGTAGGTGTCTCTGTCCACACCACTAGGACTGCTGAGAATCGGACTTACATAATCACACAGTTGCAAGCTGGTCTCCCACCTCTGAGCTCACTCTCTTCCCATCTCCTTCCTACTAGTAATAAAATATTCCTTAAAAAAAAAAATAAACACTAATCATACAAAATTCCCTCATTAAATAAATATATGTTCTTTTGCCTTTTACCCTCTTTTCTGACAATACAAAATTCAGACACCTTCACCTGGGATTCAGACTCTGTCCCCAATCCAACACAACCCAACTTCCCCATTAAATAGGGAATAAGTATTGAATAGCTCTTGTTGCTTCATGTCTCTGGCCTCCAATTAGTTTCCTTTTCTTAGTCGTACCTAAACATTGCTATTTCCTAGGCTCATTCTTAGGTCGTAACTCCAAGCTCTGCCTGGCAAGCCATATGTAATACCTATGTGACTAGTTGTCACTTGCTTCAGCACAGCCCATGGATTCCCTCCATCTTTCCTTGCCCTCAGGGTCTAATACTCCACTTGTGTTTCAGGGCTTCATAAATGGCCTGCCCATCCACACAATTGCTGCAGGTTACTCTCCATCAGTTACTGTTATATTGAAATCTAATCCCAGTCTGATGATATTCAGAGGGTTGTGTGTGTGTGTGTATGTGTGTGTTATTTATTTATTTACATTTTATGTATACATGTATGTATGCATATTTGTGCTGGATACTGTACCCTGGGCCTCACACATGCTAACCACATACTCTGCCACTGAGCTCCACCCCAAGTCAAGGCCTATATTTTTAACCTAGCTACTCACCAACATGACTGGGGAATTTCTAATATCTCTAGTCCTCTTTCTTATCATCTTATTATCTGAAATCCTATTGATTTGTTTTGAACCATTAAATTTTGTGAAAGATTCTCAAAATCTTAGGTATTGATATTTTTCCTTTGAGTGAGGAGTAGTGATGAAGCTGTTGGCTTGCTGTGAAACCATATGGCCAAGGAGCTAGCTTCAGGAGACCTACTTGTAGACCTAGATACAGAGTTCTGGAACCAGACAGAATGACTAGAACTTTTCATTTCTGTGGTTCTGGGGACGCTATTTAATCTCTCTTTCAACCTTGTTTTCCTCACCTGAAAAAATAGGGAAAATGTCATTAAGTAATTTGCCATTTTTGCTATGACTAACAGAGACAATGATAGTAAGTTTTCAACAGTTTTACTTTTAGAATAAAGAAATAATTGAGGTCACATGGCCTCTATGATATTGCCTTACTTCTCATTTCATAAAGGGAGAAAAGCTTGATCAGCTGTCAGAGAGAAAAACAAAGGGGCCACAGATTGTTGCTCGTGACAGGAGAGTTTCTGCTTCTAGACATTTATACACATTCCAAATTCTACTTTTCTTGGTGTGATTAAGTTAAGTATGCTTTTGTCTTCAGAAGGGCAAGAATCTGATTGCACCCTTAGTGGTCAGAAAGATGTGGTTTTTGTATTAAATCTGTCTTGAGCTTTTGGAAAATGAATCATAACTCTGTTCTTAAAAAAATTCATTTTGGTCTTTCATGGTAGTTTTTTTTTATTTCAGTTTGATTTTTCTGTACTCTTTCATCTTAAGTAATCTCATAAAATATTATAAGTTTCATTTTATAGGGAACATTACTGAAGATTTCAGAGGTTAAATACCCCACCCCAATCCAAACAGCAAGTGGTAGGAGAAGCACTTGAAGCT